GATGAGGCATGAACCTGGGCCTGACATCAAAGGCCTTGCCTTCCCATGTGGGAGGAATATCATTAACATTGGCAACCACTGGTAGATTTTTCATTTTACTTCTACATAATTTCCTTTATTACCTCTCCTCAGTAAATCAATTAGTAGCAATTAGCCCTGTGTTGATTTTTGAATTTTCAATAAACACTTAAAGCTGTGAATCTTCAAATTTCATAAGCCTAAGATTTAGAGACATAGACAGATGAAACAGACAAGGGATTTTATTTATAAAATAAGTTTGTTAAGCTCCTCAACCAAGATGAGTCCTATATGTTCGTCTTTACCTCAGTAAGCTTAAAATTAGCCATTAATTATCTATGTCAGACTGTTTTGGGGTGGGGCGAAGGGCTTTAAGATGGAAACAATTTAGCTAAATCTACAGATGAGAGCATAGTAGGGAGCCATGGAGAAATAGAGGAAGACCAGTCTGGATGTAGTGGATTTGTACAGGGCAGTGGAAGATAATGGAAAGGACCATGGAAGTCATTGTATTAAATTAGCTTTCCATCACTATAACAAAGTACCTGAGTTAATGAAATTAAAAGAGAAAAGGTTTATTTTCTCAGGTTTTACAGTTTAGGAGATTCTAGTTCATGGTTGGTCCTGTTGCTCTTGGTCCTGAGGTAAGGCAAAACATCATGTTAGGAGTGTGTAGACTGAAGAAAGAAATTGAAGAGTACACAAGAAGATGGAAAGACCTCCCAATTTCATAAATAGGCAGAATTTATATTCTTAAAATGACCATACTACCAAAAGCAATATACAAATTCAATTCAATCCCCATCAAAATACCAATGGCATTCACCTCAAAACTAGGAGTTGGGGGAAGTCCTAAAATTTACTTAGAAGAATAAAAGACTAGAATAGCCAAAATAATTCTGAGTCAAAAAAGCAATGCTGGGGGCATCACAATACCTGATTCAAATTATACTACAGAGCTATAGTACCAAAACTACATGGTACTGGCATAAAAACCAATACATAGATTGATGGGACAGAATAGAAGATACAAAGACAAATCCACACATCTGTAGTCATCTGATCCTTCACAAAGATGCCAAAAATTTATAATGGTGAAAAGACGGCTGGGGGAACTGGTTATTCATTTGTAAAAGAATGAAACTAGATCTATCACTCTTACCCTACACAAAAATCAACTCAAAATGGATCAAAGACCTAGGATTATATGTAGGGTCAACACTCCAACATATAAGCATAAGCAACAGCTTTCTCAATAGGA